CTACACACTTTCCAACATACACTAGGGCATCTAACAAACAACTTATTACAAATGCTAATGGAGATGTGTTCCTAATGTTGATCAGGCAGCATCCAACTTCAATCATTTCTATCCCTAAATTAGCTAATAATCTCAATTCTATACGTCAGCTTACTCAAGATTTAAATTGCCCAATAATTTTTTTTCATTCTCATTGTGTCTTTCAGGACCTTGCGGGAAAGACAATTTTAATTGCTAAAGAGCAGGATGGGTTATAATTTTTGCAACATAAAACAGATGACAGTATCAGAAAAAATGAGATGTCTTCCAACCACCAAAAAACCACAAACACATGGGCTGCTTCACAAATTTGGCTTTATCACAAGTGTCTTGGACATCCTCCATTTGGTTTACTTAAACCTCTATTTCCACATTTGTTTACGAAAGAGTTTTTTATTTGTGATATTTATCAAGTTTCTAAGCACCATCATGCATCCTTTTTACCTAGTAATAACAAAAGTGTTTCTCCTTTTGATCTTGTCCATTCTGATGTATGAGGACTGGCCTATTGTTGAATACTCTCCCCCTATAGTTGAGGGCTGACAAAGAAGGATACGATTTCAGGAATGATATCTTTTGAAACAAAATGACGACGACTCTCAAGGTTATAACATTTGTACCCCTTTTTATTAGAGGGGTAACCAATAAAGACACATTTGACAGCTCTTAGGTCTAACTTGCCATGATGAGGACTGTGAAAATGAACAAATGCAACACACCCAAACACACGACATGGGAGAGGTCCTATACAGAGGTCTATTTAAGTTTGTAATGCCTAAGCCAATGGCGTAGCATTTTTACTTCCAAAATTTTCTCTATATATATTTTCCGAAAGAATGAGAGGGAATACTGGAGGTAGAGCTCTAACCTGTAAGACATTATAGTTCAATGCACACCAAGTACCTACGTCACATGCATGATATAGTCCACTTGAAATTCCACTGGATGTGTATAAAACCCATTCTGCCAATGCCTGCATAAGGGAAACTATTTATGGGTTTTGTATACTATGGGTTCTATATCAACAAAATATAACGACATAATAAGAGTTACCAAATACCAATAGTAACAGTAGTAAAAGGAAAGAACCACCTTCTGCCGAAGGGCCCAATAGGCAGGAAGTATGGCTGCAGCATTTGATACAATGAGAAAAATTGATTGTCGCACATGCCCTATACAAATTTTTAATAATTGGATTAAGGAATTTGTACACTGTTATAAAACGGAACCAATTTTTTTGTCAATATAAAAAATGAGCAAGCACCTTGATGTGTTACAATTTCAATGCTGCAGTCAAAGCCTCCATGGTTTCGATCACAAGAGCAGAAGCTGCGGCGAAAAGGTAAATATTTAAAATGGTAAATTCCTGAATGAGTAGAACAAATGCAAAACATGAAACCTGGAAACTCCACAACATGACATTTGATATTTTTCCAGGTGACTCAATCATTAGACTCATAACCAAAATGGTTCTTGTCTAGCAACTTAAAGAAAACAAACGAAATGTAAATGCAACTGATAAAATAAGAACAACCAAAGGGCTTAAGATAAACCTGTATGATGTCAATCCACTAGCATCAAAAGCAAATTTACAGTCTCCGTGAGAGGAACATCGTTTTGGGCATCGCTCAAGTGAAAGGGACATGATAGTTGGCCCTTTCATGGAATCACTGCTGCTATTAAGATCACTAAGATGTCTTAGACCAAAACCCCAAGTTCCTTCTCTAGCATACATAATATAAAAGTTAACTTTGTCATCACTTGAATCATATAACGTGAAAAACATAGATGTATCACTTCTCCTTGTCTTGTTAGCATAATAATAGTCCCAGCTATCAAGAGATGGTAATCCACCAAATCTAGCATACACTTCATAACCGATCTTCATATCTGAGGATAGTTGTACGTGAATATTTCCTCCAGCTGCACCACGAGGAATGTCCATAAGAAAGTAAGTCCAAATGTTATCAGGTTCTCCAATGTATGATGAGTTTTTTAAAAGTGGCTCAAGAGGAAAATTGGCAGAATCATAAGATGCTCCTCCACCAACTGGTAAATAATATGATTCAAAGGGGGTTGAACCTCTCCTTACAAATGTCTGCAGACAACCATTCTCATCTTGTCAACATTTTATTCCAGCGCATAAATACTTTCAAGCATCAAGATATAGAACTGATCTACACTTAATACTATCTCAACAAACCAAGAAAAAAAAACAAAACTATTTCACTTGGTAGACACGTGTCATCTCTATTGGACTTCACATCAGATGTTACCAGAGTGGATAATTTGCAAATAGAAAGTTAATATTAATAATTTAATGTTTTTATCCTTTTGTTGTTTACAAGATATGGCTACATTTGACCACATTCTGATTTTGCCTAGTAAATTCGTAGCCTAAAAGTAAGCAGTTTTGTAGTAGTCCAAGATGCAAGGAATATCACACAAACACAATTTAGAGTCCATTATCACATGTTATAAAGAAGCACTTAAGGTGACAGCATCATGCAAAGAATTAGAATACTACCTGAAGCAAGTAGCTATCCATTGTACAATTCGGTCCAGCTTTCCCAAGTGGGCATTGAAGCACTTGAGATTTCACTGAATAGCAAACTCTTACATTGTTCTCCTGAGTCTTTGTAAGATTGATTGGTTCTATACTAATGTACCAACGACCAATTAATGGTGAATGAATAATCAGGGGGGTTTTAGCTATATCAATGGAATGATCATAATGAGTCACTGATGGCATTGCACCATGGCGGACAAAACACATTAAGATAATATCATTTTTGCCATCAGTGTTACTCGATGGAGTAACATTGAATCTGATATTTGTTGCTGTAATGACGATTTCTTCTGCCACATTCATTATATCCAGGGAGAAGAAGTTTGGTACACCTTCATGAACACAAAAAGTTTCAAAATTACTTTTGCAGGTCACCAAATTTTCAAACACTGACATGTTCACTTTAGCCTCCAAAGAATTAGAGAAGTCCGACTGCGATGCTGTGCATGAAAGTGGATAAACTGTACTGTTGCAGAAATCCCCGCTCATCATTGAATCTGTGCATGCTTCCACACTTATATTGGCAATGAAGAAGTACGATGGACCCCGTATAATCTGCAGAGACAAAGAAGTAATTATTTATCCATCCATGTGGTTCAAGCATCAAGACCTTTGCTAAGTGACAAAGAATGAGTCAAATAGAAATATGTAAAGAAATTTTATTTTAGTGTGTAACAAATACACAAATCAATATTATCAATATTAAAGTTGGTATCCAATCTGACATTGTACAACCGGTGTACTACATGTCTGCACCATTTTCAGAAATAGCAATCTACTCTATCAGCGTTAAAACCCAATTCTAAGACTTTGAAATTATGAAAGAAAGTGGATTAGTTTATAAAAACTTTGTTACACTATGCATACTGAACAACCTTTCTTCATGTGAATGACAATTAAATTTGATTCAAATTCCAATCCTGTATGCATCAGACAAAGAAACCCCCTTATGAAAATAAAATAAAATTCATGAGTATAAGCCCGCACTGAAGTATGGAAATTATCTTATCCCAAAAGGACTCACTAGAAGAACAGAAATCATTCGCTGAAAAGTCTGTCATAATAACAATCAAAATAATAGTGACAAATTCTTTTATTGCCAAACATTAGTCTAAAATTTAAAGTACTATTTACAATTTTACATAAAACTTCAATTAATAACAAATTGAATTGTGTGCTTATTAATAACATTATTATTTAGAAGATTTAGATTGTAATAATATTGGTTAACTTGAAAACTTTTTCAAAAAAATAAAAATTACAATGCAGGGGTAAAAGTAACAAAGAAATCCACCACCAACCCACCTCAGCACCCAAAAGGTCAGGCCACATTGGCTGATCAAGTCGAACCACTCTCCCGTCGATAAGATAAAGTGATAAGACCGCAATCTTATCAAATCGTAATCGACCCCGCTATCAGCTATGGGAAAAACCCTAATCCACATCAAGGTACGTGTATTATATATACAAGATCCATACACTCACAAAAACTAACTTAAGCATTGGAGTCTCTTTTGCAGGTACCAATCCCATCTCGGAGCAGCCGGTCTTATCACTTTATCTTATCGACGGGAGAGTGGTTCGACTTGATCAGCCAATGTGGCCTGACCTTTTGGGTGCTGAGGTGGGCTTTGATATCGATATGGGTAGTACACTAGCCACCCGAGCTCCGAGTGCTATCAGTCGAGGAGTTAGTGCCGATGTGGGTAGTACAAACTATATTATTGTGACTCTGAAATTCATATGGCTTTGATACATACATATATATATATATAGAGAGAGAGAGAGAAAGAGAGAGAGAAAGATCCAATAAACAAAGCAAACATAATTGAAATAAACGCTACAAAATCATTAAAGAAGTTGTTTAATTAAGGACTTCTTTTATTTTGATGAGGACTCACGAGTCATGGTTGTACATTATCCACAAAGATCTCAAAGCAAACAATGTTTTCTTAGATGATAATTCCTATGATATATATTAGATTTTGGCAAGGCAAAGGTTGATAGATACGTATCAAACAAAAAATAATAATACAAGGTAAAGTTGTTAAAACTTAGTAAATAATACAATATTAATATTCCAGAACTAGCTAACTAGTTTCCATGAGAGCTTAATTTGAATCAACTATCAACTAATCTTTTTACATAATTATTATAAAGTCAAATATTGATCATTTATTCAAAGAGTTAAAGTTAATTTTAAATAATTGTTATAACAGTTAAGATTGTTTAAAGATATTTGATGATTTATTGATAGCATAAATCACTTATATAACATTATGAAATTAAAGTTAGAACATTGTTAAAAATATAGTGATCGTATGTAACAATTAAAATAGTGGAAAAAAAATCCATAAAGAGCCATGATTTATGTAAATTTTACTAAGTTTGTCCATATTGACATGTAAGTAGATATATAAAATCTAAGTATGTAATGCATGAATAATTTACAGAAAAGTTAAATGTCTTTAGTGTTGTTGTACTAATCCTTCAGATTGTATGTGGCAAAAAAATCATGGTATTTATTTTGAGAATGGGTAAGATCTATTAAACTTTGTAAGTATTCTATGTTTTGTCTTTGCAATAAAATGTGTGGATTGAAATGTTATGTAGTGCTCCTAAATATTAATGAAGAAATAGAATTTTGATTATATACTAATATCTTATTATTTTTAATTGAGCAAGATCTTGCATGCATGGATAAACTAAGGAAAAAGGGACAATTACAAATATTATACATCCATCATTAATCAATAATTCATAAAATGAAATGATAAAATGTATTCATATTGATTTACTTTGTGTTAACAAGATTTAGCCAACAGACCAATAATATCTAATGTTGCACTCATGTTTAATAGTTATTTTACTACACTCTCAATGCCTTCAAATCTTCCTTTTTTTTATGGAAAGTGCAACTACAAGCTTTCCAAACATGTCATGGGATGTTAATTTAGGAGTAACAAGATCAAGTAAATCCATAACTAAATCCTGTTCAAAAATTACTAAATGACGGTTCAATTAGTGTTTAAAACTCTAAACTTTTGTGCTTTACAACTCAAATTGCAAGAGTATTATCAACAACTAGGAAAAGAGTAATCTCTTTAAGTAATATGTATACTTTATGATCATGCCTTGAAATTTAACCTTAATCACGCATAAATTTTATGTTTGACTTGCTGATCAATGTGTTATATGGTAAGCTTTTAAACTATTTCACAATTTTTTTATTACAAATAATGAAGTCTTATCATGGCACTCAAGCCTGGACCGTTCGTCAACAGTCTATGTCGTGAAGCTCCTCGCGATATGGACGAGCTCCGTGCCCGTGCTGCTGGATACATCCAAATGGAGGAACATCCTGCCTTCCGTGACCAGGTTCGTGGAAAATCACAAACGAAACCTGACAGTGGCCACAAAGACAAGATGAAGGTCACCAACGACAGTCAGTTCAAGAAAACTGCTCGGACAAACAAGGGGGGGAGATACGACTTCTACACTCCCCTGAATACGCCCCGAGTTCACATCTTGGAGGAGGCCAGTAACAGCAACCTGCTCACCCTACCACCACCAGGTCACACTCCCAACAGCGCGGACAAGTCCAAACACTATCGGTATCATAAAAACCACGGTCACACCACTGAAGAGTGCCGCACACTCCGAGACCGTATTTAGGAACTCATACAGGCAGGCCACCTCGACCAATATGTCCAACGATAGCAGGGTCACCGAGGAGGCTACGGTGGACGAGGATGAGGCAGAGGTCGTGGTTCGGGAGCTCGCACGGACCAACCCTCTGGCTCTCAGCAAAACGCTGGTGGAGCAGTGCAAGTTAAGGAAAGCCAGGAAACAGGGTCAGCTCTCCTACGGGGAGTAATCAACACAATTGTAGGTGGTTTCGCAGGGGGAGGCGCCAGCAGCTCGGCCTGGAAGAGACATCTGCGCAATATCAACAGCGTCCACTCCACTACCTCGGCTTCGCACCAAAGCTCACCGCCCACCACCTTCACTGACGACGACTACACTGGCGTCATCCCCAACCAAGATGACCCCATGGTCATCACCGTGGAGGTAGCTAATTGGGAGGTCCACAAGACACTGATCGACCAAGGGAGCTCGGCTGACGTCCTATATTGGCCGACGTTCCTCAGGTTAGACATCCCTCACTCTCTCATCCAACCTCACACAGAGCCCCTAGTCGATTTTGCAGGAGAGCGAGTACACACTCGGGGATACGTGGACCTGCTGACAACTTTCGGGACCTCTCCAGACACAAGGCGAATTATGGTCCGATACCTCATCGTGGAAGCCAACACTTCCTACAACATAATTATTGGGAGGCCGACCTTGAATCAACTCGGAGTAGTGGTGTACACCCTACACCTCACCATGAAATTCCCAGGGAGTGATGGGAAGATTATTTTTGTCAAGGAAAACTAGAAGACAGCTCGATAGTGCTACACCGAGAGTCTAAAAATCTCCTCGGCCGTCGGCGAGTCGGCTGAGGGGGACATGCTCGACGGTGGCGACGCCGGCGAGGGATTCGAGTTCGAGGGAACAGTCGTCGATGCAGTTGAGGGTGACAACTAGGGGGAGAGGTGCAGGGTTGTTACGGTGAGGCATTGCCGCACACGATTGGATTGGATCTGCTACAGCTACTTCTTCCCTTGCCTTCTCAGTTATGCTACGCTGCTGCTTCACTTTCGTCGCCACTTTTGGGATCACCCATTTTCAAGCGCCTCAAGCTACGGGATTTTTTTTTTAAACTCTCTTTTTTCTTTTCTCTATTTACATTTTTTTACAAAACTATACTAGCTAGTATTTTAATTTGTAAATATTTATTTTTGTATAATTCAAATTTATAATAAATACTTTGTAATAAATATTATAACTTTTTCTTGATCTTCCATTGATTTAATGACAAAATTTACTAAAATAAGGTAATGAGAAGAGAATATGTGTCACTAGCATTTTTCTAACAAGTATATTTTAAATAGTCAGAATTTTGCTATCTACTATAATTATTTTCAATTTAAATTAAATTGTCTTTTATAAATATTATTTATAATTAAAAAATATTTACAACTTGAATTGAGAATTTTCATAAATCGGATAATAGTTTTTAATATAAAAAAAATTCCTTTAAAATAACTATACCTCCTAAAATTCTGAGATGCTAATAATTATTTTTTTGAAGTAGTTTAAAAGTGAGATGATATTTCTAAATATTTAATCTTTAGCTTTATTGAATAACATGTGTAATTTATGTAATCAACTTTAAATAAGACTTCATTATTTGTAATAAAAAAATTGTGAAATAGTTTAAAAGCTTACCATATAACACATTGATCAGCAAGTCAAACATAAAATTTATGCGTGATTAAGGTTAAATTTCAAGGCATGATCATAAAGTATACATATTACTTAAAGAGATTACTCTTTTCCTAGTTGTTGATAATACTCTTGCAATTTGAGTTGTAAAGCACAAAAGTTTAGAGTTTTAAACACTAATTGAACCGTCATTTAGTAATTTTTGAACAGGATTTAGTTATGGATTTACTTGATCTTGTTACTCCTAAATTAACATCCCATGACATGTTTGGAAAGCTTGTAGTTGCACTTTCCATAAAAAAAAGGAAGATTTGAAGGCATTGAGAGTGTAGTAAAATAACTATTAAACATGAGTGCAACATTAGATATTATTGGTCTGTTGGCTAAATCTTGTTAACACAAAGTAAATCAATATGAATACATTTTATCATTTCATTTTATGAATTATTGATTAATGATGGATGTATAATATTTGTAATTGTCCCTTTTTCCTTAGTTTATCCATGCATGCAAGATCTTGCTCAATTAAAAATAATAAGATATTAGTATATAATCAAAATTCTATTTCTTCATTAATATTTAGGAGCACTACATAACATTTCAATCCACACATTTTATTGCAAAGACAAAACATAGAATACTTACAAAGTTTAATAGATCTTACCCATTCTCAAAATAAATACCATGATTTTTTTGCCACATACAATCTGAAGGATTAGTACAACAACACTAAAGACATTTAACTTTTCTGTAAATTATTCATGCATTACATACTTAGATTTTATATATCTACTTACATGTCAATATGGACAAACTTAGTAAAATTTACATAAATCATGGCTCTTTATGGATTTTTTTTCCACTATTTTAATTGTTACATACGATCACTATATTTTTAACAATGTTCTAACTTTAATTTCATAATGTTATATAAGTGATTTATGCTATCAATAAATCATCAAATATCTTTAAACAATCTTAACTGTTATAACAATTATTTAAAATTAACTTTAACTCTTTGAATAAATGATCAATATTTGACTTTATAATAATTATGTAAAAAGATTAGTTGATAGTTGATTCAAATTAAGCTCTCATGGAAACTAGTTAGCTAGTTCTGGAATATTAATATTGTATTATTTACTAAGTTTTAACAACTTTACCTTGTATTATTATTTTTTGTTTGATACGTATCTATCAACCTTTGCCTTGCCAAAATCTAATATATATCATAGGAATTATCATCTAAGAAAACATTGTTTGCTTTGAGATCTTTGTGGATAATGTACAACCATGACTCGTGAGTCCTCATCAAAATAAAAGAAGTCCTTAATTAAACAACTTCTTTAATGATTTTGTAGCGTTTATTTCAATTATGTTTGCTTTGTTTATTGGATCTTTCTCTCTCTCTTTCTCTCTCTCTCTCTATATATATATATATGTATGTATCAAAGCCATATGAATTTCAGAGTCACAATAATATAGTTTGTACTACCCACATCGGCACTAACTCCTCGACTGATAGCACTCGGAGCTCGGGTGGCTAGTGTACTACCCATATCGATATCAAAGCCCACCTCAGCACCCAAAAGGTCAGGCCACATTGGCTGATCAAGTCGAACCACTCTCCCGTCGATAAGATAAAGTGATAAGACCGCAATCTTATCAAATCGTAATCGACCCCGCTATCAGCTATGGGAAAAACCCTAATCCACATCAAGGTACGTGTATTATATATACAAGATCCATACACTCACAAAAACTAACTTAAGCATTGGAGTCTCTTTTGCAGGTACCAATCCCATCTCGGAGCAGCCGACGTACCAAGCAAAAGGGGCTCACCGATCTTCCCCAAAGCCTGTCGTGTCTCCTTCCGGCAATTTTTTTCCTATTTTTTTAGGGTTTTTTTCTTCGCTGCCGCCGCCGCCGCCTTTCTGGCCGGCGACCCCCCCACCCAACTCGCCTTCCTCCGGCAATAATATTGGTTAACTTGAAAACTTTTTCAAAAAAATAAAAATTACAATGCAGGGGTAAAAGTAACAAAGAAATCCACCACCAAAACCATGATTAAAAAAAAATTCTATTTAGTTATGCACAGTATTGTAAAATGGCAGTAACTTCACCAACATAATAGCTTCCCTTCTAGTGTATAAATGTTAGAAGACAGCGTGCAAAGGATAACAAACCCTTCTAACTGTTGGGATACAAACAAGTCTCACATCGATAAAATAAAACAAGAAATAATAACTTATATGACACAAACATACTTCAATGATTGAGAGGCCTTTTGGGTGATGACCGAAAGCAAAATCGTGAGAGCTTAGGCCCAAAGCGGATAATATCTCATCATTGTGGAGTATGTTTGTGTAATAATCTTACAAAAAAAAACACCCTCATAAAATATCCCCTCAAATAAATACCATAAAAAATAACCCCAAAGGTTAGGTCCCTTGTTTGAGAGGAGGATTGTTGGGATACAAACAAGTCCCACATCGATAAAATAAAACAAGAAATAACAACTTATATAACACAAACATACTTCAATGATTAAGAGGCTTTTTGGGTGATGACCAAAAGCAAAACCGTGAGGGCTTAGGCTCAAAGTGGACAATATCTCATCATTATGGAGTATGCTTGTGTAATAATCTTATAAAAACAACTCATATAAAATATCCCCTCAGACAAATACCATAAAATAACCCCAACACTAACAGTGATGAAACATAATTTGGATAGATGTAACATGAACATAATAAACCTTACCATCTTTGATTGTGTCCTTGTAGGTCCAATGCCATTGAAAAGACCAATGTACCAAACACCCGGAGATATCTGAAAAATAATTTGTTATGTTAACAGGCTATAATAAACCCTTCTCAACTAATAATAAAGGTGGTAGAGATATAAAATTTGTGTGCCATCACCTAAGAAGTTTTGGTTTTTAGAAGTGTGTGCCCTTGACATGGGTAGTATTTTTTTTTATTTTACTTTTTTTTTCTGGGGGGGGGGGCTCTTTTTTTTTAA